CTTTGGGTGCCCCTATGTTTGGTACATATATGTTTACAATGTTAATGTCTTCTTGGTGGATTCTTCCCTTGAGTATAATGAAGTGACCTTCTGGGTCTCTCTTTATGGCCTTTTTTTTTTTTGAAGTCTATTTTGTCCGATATGAGAATTGCTACCCCAGCTTTTTTTTCTTGTCCATTTGCTTGGAAAACTTGTTTCCAGCCTTTCACTTTTAGTCTGTGATGGTCTTTTGTCCTGAGGTGGGTCTCTTGTAGGCAGCATATGTGTGGGTCATGCTTTCTTATCCATTGAGCTATTCTGTGTCTTTTGATTGGAGCATTTAGTCCATTTATGTTTAAGGTTATTATTGATAGGTACTTATTCATTGCCATTTTTGTACCTGTGTTCCTCTCTGTCTCCCTCTTATCCTTCCTTCCCTTAAAGCAATCCTTCCAGTATTTCTTGTAGAGCTGGTTTGGTGGAGGCGTATTCTTTTAGGCTTCTTTTGTCCTGGAAGCTCTTTATTTGGCCATCTATCTTGATTGAGAGCCTTGCTGGGTAAAGTAGCCTTGGTTGTAGGCCTCTGGTTCTCATTACTTGGAATATTTCTTGCCATTCTCTTCTTGCTTGACGTGTTTCCATTGAGAATTCAGTAGCTAACCTTATTGGGGCTCCCTTGTATGTTATTTCTTTTTTCTCCCTTGCTGCCTTTAAGATTCTCTCTTTGTCTTGGAATTTTGCCATTTTGATGATGATGTGTCTTGAAGCAGGCCTCCTTAGGTTCCTCTTGATTGGGACTCTCTGTGATTCCTGGATTTGTGTGACTTTCTCTTGTAAAATTAGGGAAATTTTCTCTCATTACTCGTTCAAATACGTTTTCTATCCCTTGTTCTTCCTCTTCTCCTTCTGGTATTCCTATTATTCGGATATTATTACGTTTCATATTGTCTTGCATTTCTCTTAATCCCTCTTCATTCTTTCTAAGCCTCTTTTCATAATCCTATCCTGCGCTTCATATATCCTACTTTTGAAACTTTCTACTGTGTTCTTCAATTCAGAAATTGTATTCTTCATTTCCTCTTGTCCCTTGCTGATAGTTTCCATTTCCTTTTTCACGTTGGTATAGTTTGCAGAGAGATCATTGTAGTTCCCCTGTGGTTTCTAGTAGTTCACTGTGAGCTCTTTGAACTTCGTAATAACCAGTGCTTTGAATTCATTATCTGATAATTGACTAGCCTCTATTTCATCTAACATTCTTTCTGAAGTTTCTGCTTTTTCTTTCATTTGGGGATTGTTTCTTTGTCTTCTCATTGTTTGAGACTCTTCTTGTTAGCCTCTGCTTCTAAAATTGATCTGTTCCGAAACCCTGGTTTTATGGAGTGAACTTCTGTGGTATGATCCTTGTGAAGTTCAGTAGTGCAGACTCCTTGAAGTTTCTTGATGTTCTTCATCTCCACCTACTCTCACGCTGGTCCTCGTGCTGGTCGCCAACCACTGCTGAATGTCCCGGCTCTAGTAGCCGCCTCCTCAAGCGCCCAGGCCGGTTACTACGGCAGCGGCACAGGGGCCAAGAATGCCTCGGCTGCGTAGCTGGCTCTTCTGCCGCCCAGGGCTGTCACAGGGGTTTGGAGCATCCCGGCTCCCGTACCTGACTCACTGGCGTCCGGTCCTATCGCTATGGAAGTGGCACAGGGGCTGAGAATGTCCCAGCTCCCGTAGCTGGCTTCCCGGCGCCCAGGGCGGTCTTTATGGCGGCGTCACAGGGGCCTCCGGTGTCCCAGCTCCTGCAACTGACTCTTCTGTTGCCCAGGCCGGTAGCTATGGCATCGGCACAGGGGCCGAGAATGTCCCAGCTCCGGTTCCTGACTCCTCTGTCGCCTAGGACCGTCACAGGGGCTTGGAGTGTCCGGCTCCCAGGCCTGTTGCTCTGGCGGCAGCACAGGGGCCGCGTGTGTCCCAACTCCAGTAGCTGACTCTGCTGCTGTCTGGTGTTTCAGCGTCGGTCACAATCTCTGGTCTTTTAATTTCATAAATGCTGGGTAACCGATGGTTTATTGTACTGTTTCTCTATAGATCTGCCAGGATTTTCACCCATGAGTACAGGAGCTAGCATCAGCTCCGTCTTACTCCGTCGCCATCTTCCCAGCAGCCTCCCTATTTTCTTGATTATGCCATTACAGTTGTTCTATTCCCCCCCCTTTATTCCCCTCCCCCCTGCACACCCTCTTCCCCACCATTTCCCCCCCTCCTCCGCATCTCAAGTTCTTTAGATTCTATATTTCCCATACTATTCTTGCCTTCCCCCTATCTATTTTCTACCTACCATCTATACTACTCATTTTCTGTACCTTCTCCCCCCTTCTCCTCCTCTCACTCCCCTGTTGCTAACCCTCCATGTGATCTTCATTTCTATGGTCCTGCTTCTGACCTAGCTGTCCTCTTAGCTTGCTTTTGTTTTAGGTGTGGTTGTTAATAACCGTGAGTTTGCTGTCCTTTCACTGTTCCTATTTTTTATCTTCTTTTTCTTAGATAAGTCCCTTTAACATTTCACATAATGAGGGCTTGATAATGATGAACTCCTTGAATTTGATCTTATCTGAGAAGCACTTTATCTGTCCTTCCATTCTCAATGAAAGCTTTGCTGGATAGAGCAATCTTGGTTGTAGGTCTTTGGATTTCATGACTTGGAATACTTCTTTGCAGCCCCTTCTTGCCTGTAAGGTCTCTTTTGAGAAATCCGCTGACAGTCTGATGGGAACTCCTTTGTAGATGACTGTCCCCTTATCTCTTGCTGCTTCTAGGATTCTCTCCTTCATTTTCATCTTGGCTAATGTAATGATGATGTGCCTTGGTGTGTTCCTTCTTGGGTCCAACTTCTTTGGGACTCTCTGAGCTTCCTGGATTTCCTGGAAGTCTATTTCCTTTGCCAGATTGGGGAGGTTCTTCTTTATTATTTGCTCAAATAAATTTTCCACTTGCTCTTTCTCTTCCCCTTCTGGTACTCCTATAATTTGGATTTTGGAGGGTTTAAAGATGTCCTGGAGGTTCGTAAGCCTCTCCTCATTTTTTTAAAATTCTTGTTTCTTCATCCTTTTCTGTTTGGTTGTTTCTTTCTTCCTTCTGGTCCACTCCCTTGATTTGAGTCCCAATTTCCTTTCCATCACTATTGGTTTCCTGTGCATTTCCCTTCATTTCACTTAGTGTAGCCTTCATTTGTTCCTCTAATTTGTGACTAAAATCAACCAGTTCTGTGAGCATCCTGATCACCAGTGCTTTGAACTGTGCATCTGATAGGTTGGCTATTTCTTGGTCGCTTAGAGTTATTGGCTCTGGGGCTTTGAGTTCTTCTTGAGCCATGTTTTGCTCTGTTTGCGCCTGTTCTGTATGAGGAGAGGAGCCTTAGGTGTTCACCAGGGCGGGGCCACCCAGGTCGCTGGTTTGTGACGCTGTATGTGGGGGTGGGGTCAAAGAGGGGCAATAGCAGTCCCCTCTGCTGCTTCCTGCTGCTGGGGCCTGCGTGGTCTGGTCCCTCTCACTGCTCACTCCTCCACCTGGTTTATCTGTGCCCAAATGTGTGACCGCGGTCAGCCTGCCACCTTGGGCCTTCACTGGGTCTGCCCATTGCTACCCCATGCCTGGGATTGGCCACCAGCTGCCTGTGCACCTGGGTCAATCCACGGGATCTCTCCTCCCCAACCCCGCTCTGCTGCTGGCTCTGCCCCTCTTACTGGTCTTGCTGAACTGTTCCATCATTGTCGGACTTCCGTATAGTTCAATTTTCTGTGTTTTGGCTGCATTTTTGTTACTAAAACTTTGTTGTCTTTAAACTTGGTTGTGAGAGGAGGCACAGTGTTGCTACCTACACTTCCATCTTAGCAGAAGTCCTCAAATTTTTTCTTATACGAACTACTTTTACATTGCTTTTTATGTTTTATAACTGTTATGATCTATGCTTTATTTGGCTTAATTACTGCTTTATCTATACATATGAATGCAACCATTTTTCCCTAATTTCTGCCTTTACCTAACACATCTTTGCCCAATTTCATATTTGTGTTTTTTTTATGTGGGCTTTTAAAATTCATCTTTTAAAAATTATGCTCTGAATAATTGTTGCTTTAAATATTACTCTTTGAATGACACACAAATAGATTCTAATACACACCCAACTACCAGTAGCCAGCATGTCATATGGAGCCCCACCAAGGGGAGTCGGCTCAGCCCGGGGCCCAGGCACAGCTACTGTGTATTTGGATAACCACTGCACACCCACACCCAGTATTCCCTACCCCTTGTCCACAGGCCAGCACCTCCAAGCGGCGCCTCCAGTTTCCAATGTCATGGGCACAGGAACTATGACAGAGACTAAAACACAGAATTGAGGTTCTGCTGTTAGTCACTACTTCTTAGTACACATCAACAATCAAACCTTGTATTTGATTTTTGTTTTGTCTTGGTTCTTTTTTAAAACCTTGCATTTCAAAGAGAAAGAGTTCAGGGTTTCAATGGCTTCAGGACCACACAAATGGGAGTCAGCACAGGGAACAGGGTACACAGAACAGAGTGGCCACAATTCTCTGTGGGCCAGTATCTTCAGTGGCTTCCCTTTTTTCTTTAGATAAATTCAGGATACAGATCAGGGGACCAGGTACATTTTGTCTGGGACATGGGCATGAGGTGTACTTGAGGCAGTGACACCCAAGCTGATACCAAGAGCTGGAACAGAACAGGAACACAGAGAGTTAGTGTGTGAGCCTCTGATGAGGAGCCCTGGGAAATCCCCCCAGGGACGTCCACACAAGGTAGCCATTGCTGTCCTGGTCCCCCATGAAAGGCCTGATCTCCAGGGACAGAAGATCTGTTTATTTGCTCCTACTCAACAAAGCCCAAGAGCCACAGTGCTGAACTGTAATGTTTCCTCCAGTGAGAAGAGGTTCCCGCATCCTCAGCCCTGGCTGAGCCTTTCCCATCAGCCAGGGTCAGACAAGGACCAGGTGGGGATGACAAGTGGGTCCTTGGAAGCATCTGACAGCAGCAGAGAGCAGCCAGGTAAGAACTGGGAAAGCAGGTGAGGGCAAGGTTATCTCCCCCACACACGCACAGGTTCACACTGGGAAAAACAGACCCAGTGAATCCTTTTGCAACTAACCAAGTTCCAAGGGGGAACGTCTCTTGATTGGACAGGTGCAGGCTTTTTTCCTGTCAGGGTGTGGTGCCCGTTGCAGAACAGAGCAAGTGCATTTCTGAGATGGAAGCAGAAAAGCAAGCCGTGGGGAAGGAAGGAGATGACTAAGCTTAGTGGTGCTAGGACCAGGGACTAGCTCCTCAGATCCATCCCAGAAGTACAGTCAAGAGCCACCCTCCATGCCCACAAAAGAGACCACTCTGTCAGACAGTCAAGAGTTCCAGTTCTGCCTCTGATCTCCACCTTTTCTCCAGCTGCTTCCCCATGTTCATTCGCTGTGGTCAGAATAAAGGTGTTTCAGAGGGAGGCTGCATGCATGTCATAGGGAGCCCCACCAAGGGGAGTTGGCTCAGCCCGGGGCCCAGGCACAAGCAGCCTCAGAAACAGCCTCTCACTGCTACAGATATGGCAGACATTTCAGAGACAGTCACACACCAACAAGGCTCACAAGAGGCTAATGCACAAAACTGCAAGCCTATAGAAGTTACACAAAATAACGTTATTGCCAGGGGGACCAGGAGGAGCACTCTCTCACTGTAAGGACGCTGTCGGAGGGGGGGGGGTTAAACTAAAATCAAGAGGTGTGTGGTGGCTATCCAATCATAGTAAGATCAGTTCAGTACGTGACCTACTGCTCAGTGTGGAATCTCAGCTTGTTGGGGTTTAAACCATGAAATGACGGTACTTTTTCTTGTAACTGATCTTCTATGGCTAGCTCTCATAAAAACACCCTGGCCAGATTCCACCACTTTAAGCCACTGCATATTATAAAAATCACTCTCAGTGATTCAGTGGTCAAAAACATTCTAAAACTTCAATTGTCTGTGTTCACTCGCCTACAATGTTTTGTGGCTCGGAGTATGGTGGGGAGAGGGTGAATGGTGGCAGATTCGGTCCGTCTCAGGCAGCTCTTCCCCTGTACTCTTCCAGAATTAGCTCTTCCTGAGTTGGGGCAAGAAAGAGAGAGGGGAAATCCAGGAGGTATCACTGTTCTTGACTATGTAAGGAAGCTGCCCTTCCTCTCTTGGTGTCGGCTGCTTTTCTGGCCGTCACGGAACATGGCAGGAATACACAAGCTGGCTCTGAGGGCTCATCGCTGTGAGCTTCTCACTGAGGGTTCTCCAAGGACCCCCACGTGGTCTCAGGGGTTGGAGAGCCAGCACTCAATTGGCCTCTGTAATTCTGGAAAGCCTCACCCAAATGCAGTTTATTCTGCCATGTTTTATCGAGAGCATCTCCTTTCCTGGGGGGCACCACTTTGCCTTCAGTATTGCAAAGATGTCCCATGTCAGGTGCCTTCCACGAGCTCCAGCCCACATACATCACTTTATGATGACAAACAGCAAGTGCCAGGTCCCTTCCCTCCATCCCACTCAGCTCTACCACCCCTATCCATCGTACCTGCCCTGCTGAGAGGGAACAAGGGCCATCAACAAGCCCGTTAGCTGAGCAGACTTCTCCGACTCAGAAAATCAAATGATAGTCTCCCCACCATGTGAGCATCTCAGTTTTTTGGAGGAATTTTCTTGGTGCTCCCCTCCCTCAGATTTGGACACTAGAAATCCCACTTTTCTTTCCTAAAGGCATTTGTTTGGAGAGCAGGACCAATAAAATAGCACTGGTTTAGTCAAGATAGCATGAAGTATGTAAAATAAATGGAGTCATTCATATCAACCAACATGGCCTCCGGTCACCCATGATACTTTGGATCAAGTGAGAAACTACCCAAGTCACCCACCCTAGATGCATCTGGCAAGGGGTCACATGCAAGATATCTGCAGACCGATCAGAACAGTCGTGCCTGCAGAGCGGGACCACTCATAGATGGGCTCCTGGGCCGATTCCACACTTGGCATTAGGGGTGTCAAGACATTTACCAAAAAGACCCAAAAGGGTGGAGTGCACCTCTCTGAAGGTGTAACTGAGCAGGTTCAGACCACCGCCAGGACAGCTGAGCCCCACACACCAGAGCGTTGCTCCATGCCACGCCGATCTCCCTTGGCAACGGCTGTTGGAGGCTCTGCCCTGCTGGACCGAGGATTTGTCTGCCTGCTGCCCACCTGGCTCCAGAGATTCTCCCTTGCAAGATGCTGATGACTCCCTTGCCCATCTTGCTGTCTCCTGGACCCACCAAAGGAAACTCTGGGACTTGGGTTTGTTATTCCCCATTGATTGCTGTGTCTGTGTTACAATTCTCTTAGGTCGTTAGAGTGTGAGTAGGATATGAACGCACGTTGATGTCCCACTCTGAGTGACCCTGCACTCAATACAAGCTGAGTGGACAGCACAGTTACCGTGTGTGACTCCTGCCTGTTCCTCGGTGCCGGGCTGCTCAGTGGGCAGCGAGCCCAGCAGTTGCCTGGCTAACTTACAGGAAAGACTGTGTCCGAACATATCTATGGGCATGACAGTGTGAGGGCAGGGCACAGCCTCCCACCAGAATTGCTGCCCTGTCACCTCTCAGCCCCTTGCCACAGTGACTTGCAGTTAGGGGCAGTGTCCCAGCAAACACTGGCAGGAAGTGGCTAACCTTAATGCTGGCAGCTCTCAGATGGCTTTGGAGTTACTTAGAGCCTGGTGAGCTTTTTCTGGCTTTATCCACAGTTCTCAGATAACAGGGGGAAAGGCACTGCCATCCTGCTATACCTCGTTCACACTTATTTTAAATAAATGGTAGCTAATCGAAATATGGAGGTAAAACTGGAAGGAATTTTGGGGAAAGGTTTTCATTTTTTACTTAAAAATTAAAACTTTTAATTTTAAAGCATTTTCATTGTTTTAGGACTGTAGATGTTATGGATCCTATTGCTCTAATCCATCATTTTCAACCAGTGTGCCACAGGAATTTTCTATTAATTAATTAATTAATTTATTTATTTATTTATTCATTTATTCATTTTAGCAAGAGAGAGGAAGGGAGAGACAGACAGACACACATCAATTTGTTGTTCAACTTATCTATGCACTCATTGGCTCATTCATGTACGTGCCCTGACTGGGGGGTCCAACCTGCAACCTTGACGTATCGGGACACTCGAACCATCTGAGCAACCTGGCAAGAGCTTGGAAGAATTTTTAAAACCTATAGTCCTTGACTATTTAGCCAGGGACACTGACTTCCTTCCCCAAACTGTCAAATAAAATAATGACAGCAGCCAACACAACAATACCCATCTGGTGTGAATGAATCAAAATCACACCTATCTTTTTGTCAGATCACCGAATAATGTATTTTTGGGTGTGCCAAGGAACTTCAGTAACAAGTTTCTGGGTCAATGTGTCACCATCTCGTCTTTCTGAGTCTCAATTTCTTCCTCTGATCCCCTCACCACTGTCTCACAGAAGATGGACAGAATTCATTCCTAGGATAAAAAGAAACAACATAGTAAAAATACTTTGTGCCTACAGATATTCACTAAATGTTAGTGAAATCGCCATTAAGCTGGATGCAGTCAAAAATAACTGATTAAATGTATACAAATTCACTGGCTTTTTCATTAAAACTACCTCTAGAGAATCACCTCATTGTAAATTAATTCTCAAACAATGATAAAAATAGTGTCACAAAATCTTTTTTAAATCATGACATATTATTACCATCTCATCTAACTTTATATTTGAAGTAATATTCATTAAAAAACAAACTTTGGATCCACTATCCATAAGGAAATTGCAAGTCCGGCAAATGAAATCGCTCCTTTTACCTTTCACCACATTTTCTCAGCTGCAGACATGGGCAGAGCCAACCAGACCGGAGTCACAGAGTTCCTTCTTCTGGGACTCTCCGAGCAGCTGGGGCGGGAACAGGTTTCCTTCGGCTTGTTCCTGTGCATGTACCTGCTCACCGTCATCGGGAACCTTCTCATCATCTTGGCCATCAGCTGTGACAGTTGTCTCCACACACCCATGTACTTTTTCCTGGCCAACCTCTCCTGTGTCGACATCTGCTTGTCATCAGTCACCATGCCCAAGACGCTGGTGAATCACATGGTGGGAAGCAAGTCCATCTCCTATGTGGAGTGCATGACCCAGGCCTACTTCTTCATCACTTTTGGCAACATGGACGGGTTCCTCCTGAGCGTGATGGCCTACGACCGTTACACTGCTATCTGCTGCCCGCTCCGGTACACCGTGATCATGAGGCCCCAACTCTGTGTCCTGCTGGTGGCGGTGTCTTGGGTCATCACAAACCTGCATGCTCTCCTTCACACTGTCCTCATGGTTCAGCTCACATTCTGTTCCAGCAATGTTGTCCACCACTTCTTCTGTGACCCCTATGCAGTTCTAAAGCTGTCCTGTTCTGACACCTTCGTCAATGACGTGATGGTCCTCACTGTGGGTGGGCTGGTATTTCTGATACCGTTTTCATGTATAATCATTTCCTATGCTTACATCCTCTCTAATGTACTGAAGCTGCCAACGGCCCGCGGACTAAGGAAAGCTCTGTCCACGTGTGGATCCCACGTCATTGTGGTCTCCCTCTTTTATGGGACAGTCCTGGGGGTCTATATGCACCCTTCATCCTCCTACTCAGGACGGGACATGGTGGCCACTGTCGTCTTCACCGTGCTGACCCCCCTCATCAATCCCTTCATCTATAGCTTGAGAAATCGTGATGTGAAGGGAGCCTTAAGGAAACTAATTATTATCAGGAGAATTGTTTTATCAAGATCCTAGTATTAGAAAATTTCAGAGCTAAAAAGGCAATTGGAAATCATACACACTTCTTCATTTTTCAAAAGAGAAACTGAGGCCCAGAGAGATGTGAAATTATTCCATAACTATTTCTGTAATTCATGGTCATGGCCTTACTTTAAAAGGAGGCTGACAGGTACTCTGAAGTCATATAAACTCATTCATTTGACACCTATAGAAAGGGCTGATGCTGTGGTCCCCAATATGCAGATGAAAACTAGACTAAGACCTAAGGGAAATTGATCCAAAGTGACACCTGGAAGCATTTTTTAAGGATGAGCACGGCAATGGTACACGGTACTGGCCACCACTAAGGTGTGGGACTTGCAAATGACTGAGCAATGCACTTGTTACACTCAATGGCTCTACATGCTCTCCCACATGAAAAGTGGAGAAGCCTGTTTGGAGCAGTGTAAGTGTGAGAGTTCAGACACAGGAAAAGCAGAAAGCAGGACACGAAGGCCAACTAGAGGCACACGTGTCCGCGAAGTTTCACGGATCTCATGCCAATGATCTTCCTGTGCATAATAAAATAGAACTGACAATACTAAATGATTCCAATATGTCAAAGACTACCTTTGTATTATGTCACTTAACTCCGTTACCCCTCATGGGTGATATAACAAATATTTTTCCATTGTACAAGATGAGAAAATTGGGTCATAGAGAACGTAACTTGTCCAAGTTCATAAAACTACTAACTATAGAAATCAGAATGGTCCTGACCATTTTCTTTTGAGGTGTTTAATGTTCTTTTTTACTTCTTATTGTTAATTTTATTATTTTGAAGTTGCATACGGTAACTTGAAAATATTGCTCCTTTTGGGGGCATATAGTTCTATGAGCTTTAAGACATGTATAGATTTGTATAACCAACATAGGTCTCAGGACAAAGAACAGTTCCATCAACTTACAGTAGAGATAGTGAAGTAGGTAAACCCTGTGCTTGTCCCCTCCCATGGCCACATCAAAATTACGATTAGGTTATAGAATAGCCACCCTTGAGAAAAAGCTGCAGACTAGCTGAACAATACTCCTGTAACTAAGGATGTAAAGAGGGAGCCATACTGAGACTGGTAAAAGAGGAAGAGTTGCAAAATGAGCTGATTCCACACCCATGTGTGGCGAGTAAGAACAGGGAGGGATATTTGGGCTCTGGAGGAGCTAGCTGAGGAGTGAAAGTCCCAGACTAGAGCCCCAGTGCTGGAAAGGAACATCCCCACAACATCTTGCTGTGAGGACCGTCAGGGACTCCATCGGGTGAGAGGAAGAGTGATGCTGTAGACCCAGGTGTCCTCTTAAAGGGCCTGAGCACACACTCACTCAGTCACAAAAAGTTGCATTAATCTCCAGCAAAGGACAGTTGCTTGAAAACCACATAGGAAATGTGGGGAGAACTGAATTATCTGGTGTTAGTGTAAGGGGTGATGAGGTCCATCATCCCTGATGAGGGCACATGCCATCGTTTCATTGCTGAGTCCTCCGTCCACATAGCCGGCTGGTGCACATCCAGTCTGAGTTTCCTCTATTCTGGCCAGCATGATGCCCTACTATGGTGATTCCCTGAGACCACACCCAACCCACTAGCATGCTTTCAGTGGCTATTATACAGCAAATGGCTTCCATACACCCTGTACCATGGCTAAGTCGCCTCAAGCCCAGATGTATCAGAATGGGGCCTCGGTTCTCAGCATAGCCTGTACCAGGTGTCTCAAAGTCCGTTACAGGCAGCTATCAAACGCAGGGCCAGGTACAGGTAGCGGCTGGCCTGGGCCTGCACTCAGCTCCTCCTAAAAGACCCCGGAACTAACATAGCAGACCATTGCCCCTCAATAGCTCCATCAATTATACCAAAAGAGTGCATTTGTACCAGAACTCTGCTAAAGCAAGTCCCAACCCATGACATCAGCTCTTACCCAACAGCTAACCAACTACAGTGATGGCCAGGATTCATGGCCAGACAGTCTGAGGGTCAGTCTCACCCAATTATGTGTCAACAGCAATCAAGGTTCAGCTGTAACAGGAAGGCCCACACAACCCACACAAGAGCCGTCTCTGGAGCACCTGGCTCAGGTGACCAGGGTGACTACTACTGGGCATCACAGGACACATATGAGTACATAAGACCACGCTGTCAAGAGTGGGGACTTACTTAGCAGATATATCCAATACATAGGAAAAAAAAACACAGGAAGGCAGCCAAAAATGAAAAGACAAAGAAACATGTACCAAATAAAAGAACTGGAGAAACCTCCAGATAAAGAACTAAACAAAATGAAGGCAAACAAAATACCAGATGCAGAGTTCAAAACACTGGTTACAAGAATGCTCAATAAACTTATGGGGAAAAATAATTGAATTCAGTGAGAACTCACTCAAAGAGATAGAAACCATAAAAATATTAGTCAGGAGTAAAGAACACAATAACTATAATAAAGAATACATTAAATGGAATCAATAGCAGATTGGACGCAGCAGGGGGTCAAATGAACAATTTGGAGAAAAGGTAGGTAAAAATACCCAGAAGAGATTGGCATGAAATATTCAAAGTGATGAAAAGCAAGGACCTACAACCAAAATTACTCTTCTCACAAAGCTAGCATTTGGAATTGATGGATATATAAAGAGCTTCTTAGGCAAAAAAAAAAAGAAAGATAAAGAGAAAACTAAAGGAGTTCATACCTTCAAAATTTATATTTTAAGAAGTGTGAAAGGATTTCTTTAAAAAGATAAAGAAGAAAAAATATTACTAAGAAAATATGGTAAAGAAATACTCTACTGACAAAGGCAAACACATAACAAAAGCAGTGGTTCAACCAACTGTAAAGCTGTACAAAAGTGAAAAGGCAAAAACAGAATGATCACCTGTAATTATTAGAGAAAATTAACTCATACACAAAAACACATGCACAAAAGAAACAAAAAATAATGACAAAAACAAATGTAAAGAGAGTGAGAATATGGTAGTGATTATAGGACACGTACAAACTTAATCATCAACTTAAAATGTGCTGCTATAGCCCTGGCTGGTATAGCTCACTGGATTGAGTGCAGGCCTGCAAACCAAACAACCACAGTTCAATTCCCAGTCAGGGCACATGCCTGGGTTGCACACCAGTTCCCAGCAGGGGACGCATGAGAGGCAACCATACATTGATATTTCTCTCCCTCTCTCCTTCCCTCCCCCTGTAAAGATAGATAAATAAAATCTTTTTCAAAAAAGTACTGCTATAAACATTGTTTGGCATATATGAAGCACATTGTAACCACAAACCAAAAATCTACAAGAGATATAAAAATAATAAAGAGAAAGGAATCCAATCACAACAATTCAGAAAGTCACCAATGTAAAAGAGAAGAGAGCAAGAGAATAAGAAAGGAGTAGAAAAGAACTTCAAAACAAGCAGAAAACAATAAAATGCAATAACTAAAGACCATGAATAATGACTTTTAATGGATTAAATGATCCAATCAGGACATATGGTGGCCTAATAAGAAAACAAGGCCTGTATACATGTTGCCTGCAAGAGATCTCCTTAAATAAACAGATGAAATAGTATATTTCACCCAAATGGAAATGAATAAAAAAGCTAGGGTAGCAGTACTCATATCAGACAAAATCAACTTTAAAACAAAGACTATGAAAAGAAACAAAGAAGAACATTTCACAATGATAAAGGGATCATTCCAACAAAAGGATATAACCCTTGTAAACATTTATGCACCCAAATACATAACGCTAATTGACAACCATAACGGGAAAGATGGATGGTAATACATCAATAACAGGGGACTTTAATATCTCATTGACATCAGTGGTAGATCAAGACAGAAAATCACCAAGAAAACAGTGGCCTTAAATGACACATTAGATCAGACTGGTTTATTGATAGCTTTCAAACATTTCACCCCAAAGCAGCAGAATATGTATTCTTTTCAAGTACACATGGAACACAGTCCAGGGCCACATATAGGCCACGAAACAAGTCTCAATAAATTTAAGAAAATTAAAATCATATCAAGCATCTTCTTGATTACAATGGTATGAAACCAGAAATTGATTATCAAAAACAACCTTGAAAAACACAAACACAGAGGCTAAATAACCTGACTAAACAATGACAGGGCTAACAATGGTCAAGGAAGAAATCAACAGACACGTGGAGAAAAATAAAAATGAAAACACTACAAACCCAAATCAATGGGACTCAGCAAAAGATTTAAAAGGAAAGTTCATGGCAGTATAGGCCTACCTTATGAACCAAGACAATCTCAACTAAAAAACCTAACATTACATCTAACGGAACTAGGAAAAAACCAACAACAAACAAAGCCCAAAATAAACAGAAGGAACAAAATAATGGAGGTCCGAGTGGAAATAAATTAAATAAAGTCTAAAAATGAATACAAAAGATAGTGAAACCAAGAAGTGGTTCACCGAAAAGATAAAGAAAATTGACAAACATTTAAGTAGACTCATCAGGGAAAAAAGATGGCAAAAATAAATTATATTAAAAATGAAATAGGAGAAGTAACAACTGGCACTGCAAAAATACAAACGATTATAAGAAAATGCTATGAACAATTATATGCCAACAAATGGGACAACCTGGGAAAAATGTATAAATTCTTAGAAACATACAATCTTTGAAAACAGAATAAAAAAGAAACAGAAAATCTGAGCATACAAATAACAAATAACAAAAATGCATCAGTAATAAAAATAATCCAACAAACCAAATCACAAGTGAATTTTACCAAGCATCCAATGAAGAAGAACACTTATCCTTCTCAAATACTCCCAAAAATTGAGGAGGAGAAAAGGCTCCCAAACTCATTTTATGAGTCTGGCATTACTGTGATACCAAAACCACACAAAGAAAATTACAGAAAAGAAAATTAGAGGCCAATACTCCTGATGAACATAGATATATATTCCTCAACAAAATATTGGCAAACCAAATTCAGCAATACATGAAAAAGATCATACACCATGATCAAGTGGGATTTATTCCTGGGGTGTAAGGTTGTTGGTTCAATCTCTGCAAATCAATTAGCATGAAACATCACATAAAAAATGAAGGATAAAAATCGCATAATCATATCGATAGATACTGAAAAAGCATTTTTAAGAAATCCAGCATCAGTTTATGATAAAAACACTCAGCAAAGTGGGAATAGAGGGAGCATTCCTCAACACAATAAAGGCCATATATAAGAAACCAACTGTAGCCAACATCATACTCAACAAGTAAAAACTAAAAGCTTTCACACTAAGATCAGGAACAAGACAAGGGTGTCCACTTTCACCACTGCTATTCAATATAGTATTCGAAGTCCTAGCCACAGATAGCAGACAAGAAAAAGAAATAAAAGGCATCCAAATGAGAAAGGAGGAAGTAAAACTGCCATTGTTTGCAGATGACATGATACCGTACATAGAAAACCATATAGACTCCACCAAAAACTACTCAACCTAGTAAGTGAATTTGGCAAAACAGCAGATACAAAGTCAATATTCAGAAATTGAAGGCATTTTTGCATACCAACAATGAAATATCAGATACAGAAATTAAGGGGGAAATCACATTTGCTATAGCAACAAGAAAATTAAACTACCTAGGAATAAATCTAACCAAGGAGGTAAAAGACCTATCTTCAAAAAACTACGCAACACTGAAGAAAGAAATTAATGAAAACACAAATAAATGGAAGCATATACCATGGTCATGGAGTGGAAGAATTAACATCATCAAAATGTCCAAACTACCCAAAGCAATTTACAGATGCTCAGTATTGCTAGGCATCAGAGAGATGCAAACTAAAACCACAATGAGATACCACTTCACACTGGTCAGAATGGCCATCATTAACAAATCAACAAACAAGTGCTGGTGAGGTTGTGGAGAAAAGGGAAGCCTAGTTCACTGTTGGTGGGATTGCAGACTGGTGAAGCCGCTGTGGAAAACAGTATAGAATTTCCTCAGAAAACTAAAAATGGAACTGCCTTTTGACCGGGCAATTCCACTGTTGGTATTATACCCTAAGAGACCTGACGCACCGATCCAAAAGAACCCATGCACCCCAATGTTCATAGCAGCACAATTTTCAATAGCCAAGTTTTGGAAGCAACCTAGATGCCCATCACTAAATGAATGGATCAAAAAACTATGGTACATTTACACAATGGAATACTATGAAGCAGAAAGAAAGAAGGAGCTCCTACTCTTTGCAACAGCATGGATGGAACTGGAGAGCATCTTGCTAAGTGAAATAAGCCTGGCGGTGAAAGACAGATACCATATGATCTCACCTATAAGTGGAACCTAGTCAACAAAACAAACAAGCACGCAAAACAGAACCAGAGACAAGGAAATAAAGAATGAACTGGCAGTGACCAGAGGGGAGAGGGCGAGGAGAAAGCAGGAGAAAGAAGGGGAAGGGTCAAGTCACAGAACACATATAAAGGACCCATGGACAAAGACAATAGGGGTGTGGGAGGATTGAATGTGGGAAGAAGAGGGTGGGTAGGGCAGGGAGAGTAATAAGGGAGAAATGAGGACAACTGTCATTTAACAACAATTTTTTTAAAGAAAAAAAAGGAAAATTGGCAGAGGACCTAAACAGACACTTTTCCAAAGAGAACAGATGGCCAACAGACATGAATATGCTCAAGGTCACTAATTATCAGAGTGATGCCATTAAAGCCATAACGGGGTATCACCTCACACCTGTCAGAATGGCTGTCATCAACAAATTAGCAAACAAGGTGTGTTGGCAGGGACGTGGAGAAAAGGGAGCCCATGTACACTAATGGTGGGAGTGGGGATCGTGAAGCCACTGTGGAAAACAGTGTAGAGATTCCTATTCTTTAAATATTAAAAATAGAACTACCATATGACCCCACAGTACCACTTCTGGGTATTTATCTGAAGAAATCTAAAACACTAATTTGAAAAGATATATGCACCTATATGTTCATTGCAGCATTACCTACAATAGCCAAGATATGGAAGCAACCTAAGTGTCCACTGATGGGCTACTGGATAATGAAGATGTAGTATGCATATACAGTGGATATTACTCAACCATAAAAAAATGAAATCTTACCATTTGAGAAAACATGGATGGATCTATGGTTTCATTCATATGGAGTGAGGCAAAAGTAGGTTTATAATTGTTCACATGGAAAAATAATATAATAATTAATAAACAGTAATACAAGAATAAACTGGGTTTAGCGTACTCACAATTGTCAACCTGTATTTTCTTCATCCTATGTGTGTAGTCTAAAACAAACAAAATGGAAAGAAACTTATGAGACAAAAAGCAAACAGGGTTGCCAGATGAAAGGTTTAGGGGCTGGGTAAAAAAGATAAAGGGATTAAGAAGCACAAATTGGCAGTTACAAAACAGTAATGGGAATGTAAATTACAGCACAGTCTGTAATGTCCTAACTCTACATGGTGTCGGGTGGGTACTAAACAGTGCGCTGTATGCCTGAAACTAATACACGGAATGCCCACTGTAACTGACATTTTAAAAAGAGAACAGTGTATCCCTCCAAAAGTCCCCCATGCTGTCCCTGTGTAGTCTAGCTCTCCCTTCTCTCCTGCGTCGTCAGCCTTTGATATACTCCCCACCCCCAGTGTTCTGCCTTTTCCTGAACGTCATATAGACAGATTCATAATGTACGTAAATGTTTCAACCTTCTTTTTCTTTTAATGTAATGCCTATGCGATTCGTCCATGCTGTTGTGCTTATCAACAAAGTGTCCCTTTTTATTGCTGAATAGCATTCTATTGAGTGGATAAAGCTACTACAAACATGCACACAGGCTTTGCGTTACCATCTCTCTAGGAAAATACCCAGAATATCTCTGGGTCACATATAACTCTACATTTAAATTTATTTTTAAAAGAAATCACCAAGCCATTTTCCAGAGTGGCTGTAAAATTTTAGAGTCCCACCTACAATCTGTGAGAGGTCTAGTTTCTCTGCATCCTCACTGCACCTGGTACTGTCGCTGCGTAATGGTATTTCACTGGGGTCTGAGTGTGAAGGTTTCTAATGACTAAAATATTGAGCACATTTTCATGTTTTTACTTGATATCTATATTCTTCACTGGTGCAATCGATGTCTGTTGAAATATTTCGTCCATTTTTGTTGGATCCAAAATTATTTTTAACGGAGGTTTTTTTACTTATTAAAAATGAGTTTATTAAAATAATGCATTTATTTCACATATATGTTTGTCTTCGCACCACTTGCATTGGTCTCGCCACCATTACTACTGTGTCCCGTCATAACATTCAATAAGTAGTACACAAAAGCAAACGAGGGGTGTTGCTCCACCCTTACGCGCTAAACAGACATTTTGGACAATGCATTCTTGGCAATGGAACTTGGACATTTATTAGACATGGTAGAGAAAGTTCTCAGTATGCATTTTTAAAAGGACAGCCAGATAGACAGGACACTGTTGAAAAGGTTAAATAATTGTGTCCATGGAGTGCTGTACCTCCCCCAAAGTTCTGAAGAGCAGTAATCAATGAATGGTCTCCGTTTTGTTCGCCTGCATACTCCAGCTGCTCACGACTGCCTTAGCGCACACACATTTTCGGTGACTGGCTGGAGTGGAACCTCCCCTTACTTATCGAACACCTGAGAAGCCAGGCCTCTGCGAAACACTCGCAGCCGCGGCAGCACCAACTCCAGAAGTGGGCTCTAGGGATCCGTAGACTCGCCAGCACCCGGCCTCGCTGACAAGTGCAGAGAACTACACTTCCCAGAATCCTCAGGTCCTGGTCGAGCTACATTTCCCAGAGCGATTAGCGGTGGTCCCTGCCCCGCTCCCTGCCCCGCCCCTCCCGGACCTGCCATCCCAGTGAGTGGCTTCCCCGGCCGGAGACCTACGGGAGTCTCGACCGGAGGCTGCCCTCCGGCCGGGGAAGTTCCGGAACCCCGCTCTTGCGGAAGCACGACCCCCGCAATCCCCGGGGCCTGGGCGAGGTGAGTGGCGGAATGCAGGAGGGAGGACCGGGGCCTCGGGAGGATGCGCGGTGGCACAGGCCCAAGAAGCGTGATCGGGGCCTTTGTGGGCACGGACGGGCCAAGCGCCAGGCACCCCAGCTCTGTCCCCCCAGCTCTGTCCGCCTGCCCCCAAGGAGTTTGCCCAGCAGGCGTGCCCTTGAACGTGGCACTACGTCTCGTTGCCCCAGGCCCCAGCTTCTCTCCGGCTTCCTCTCTACTCTTCCCAGCGCGCTCCACGCCCAGCCTCTGCCGGCCTGTGAGTCCCCTGGCGGCCGTCGGTGAATGAGAGGAAAAGTGTTTCCTCCTCTCCAGGCCGCTGTTCTGCCGGGGGGCAAGCGGGTGAGCAGATGGGCTGACCGGCGGACAGGCGGAATGATCTATTTTCTGCGAGAAGTGAAATTCCGACTTCCCCTAATGGCAGAGTCGGGACTTTGACCTGGGTCTTTGTTTTCTGTGCCCACTGTGCCGAGAGCAGCCCCCTCCCCACCCTGAGGAAGCGGAAGTTTGCCCTGTGCGAAGCAGTTTTCTCTAAGCCTCGGGAAATTGATTCCTTGACAGGAGGGAGGGGCCCTGGGTGGGAAAAGCTTGCGGCGGTGAAAGTTGCCGCGAGCGGGCTAGGGCCGAAAGGCACGAGCTAGAGCCGCGGTGGGAGCTAGAGCCGCGGTGGGAGCTAGAGCCGCGGTGGGAGCCCTGGGCGCTGTGGCCCGTTGTGCCCGAGCTGCCTGCACGCAGATCCCACTCCACCCTCAGTTTCCTGGTCTGTGAAGTGGGGGTGCTGACGGTGCCGCTGCTCTGGGGGACTGAGCAGCGTGGGCTGGGCCCCATTCGCTGCTGCTGCTGCTGCTGCTGCTCCGTGGAAGGTCCTCTCTCTCCGAAGCGGGGAAAGGTTGGCACCCGCACTGGGTGACCCAGCCCTTTTCTCTGGTCCTGCTTGCCCCTGGCTCCTCCCCACGTCTCCCTCGGAGGGCACGTGGGGCGTCCTCAGGTGGCTAAGGATTTGAGAGCTGCTGATTCTGGGGACTGAAGTGGAAGGGGCTTCTCTCTCCTGGCTCCCATTCTCATCTTGCAGGTCTGCCTTCTGCAGATCCTGCCTGTCCTCAGGGGAAAGAGCGGTGGCGGAGGAGGACATGGCTCCTGAGCAGAGGGAAGCACGCTGTCAGGTGAGTTCACTGTATCTCAGGTCTTAGGGACAGGTTGCTGTTGTCGTTTACTTGTTTGTGTTTGTTTTCTGTTTTCACTCATACTGAAGTTCTCTACCCAGTGCAGTCTCCCCTGGGGTTTGGAGCCCAAGTCCTTTTCCCTTGGAACAGTTGGCCCACCTGGTGGATAATGCGTTCCGTGGTGAACGCTTGTCTCCTCCCCCAATCCGTGTCTGGTGGTCCCCTCTTCCTTCCGAAATAGACACACTTTTTTGCATTAATCCCAGTTCAGTGCATGATTACTAATTTGACAGGTAAGATGCCACACACCTTATATCACTTAGGAACAAAACAAACATCACACTCCACAGAGTTGCTATCTGGCCCCACCTCCTCGGCTCACCCACCTCTCCCTCCCTGCCTTGGGCGGGAATACTTTCCTTTTTCTTCCCACCCCTAAGAGTCCTGGCGACACCTTCCCCAGGCTTCTCCAATCCATAGTTTTCGTTTTTTACTCCCTCTTAACTTTGCGGATTGTGTGCCTTGCTTCTACCGCTCTCAAAAACTGATCTTGACCAGCTACTTTCATCTTTCTGTGTGGGAACGAGGAAGGGACCCCGCACAGTGAGCCAGGGCTTGAATGCGGGATCGCGGTGTTGGAAGGGACACGGTGGGAGGTCTGTTGGCTCCTCAGGAAGCAGCAGGGAGGGTCTCATGGGACATTGGTCCTGGAAAGGCAGTGTATGAAGTGATTAGGAAGTGGGTCTTGGGTCAGATGGCTGGGTTTGAACCCATGTCCTCTGCTGCCATTTATGGGCATTGGGCGAATACCTCCACCTCTCCTTGTTTGGTTTCTCGCCTGTAAAATGGGCACAGGAATTGGAGCATGGAAAGTGTTTAGATCAAGGCCGAGCCACATATGTGGTTGTCCTGGTAGCCGAACCACATTTCTCTAGTAACAGTAGCATTGGTGCCCGTAGATAGAAGCTGCTCTCTGGTGTTCCTGGTACCCAGAGAACCCTTGTCCTCTCCTCACTCTTGCACAGCCAGGGATACAGGTAATGATGCTGGGTGTTGTCTTATCCTGGCGGCTTTACCTGCGTCCCCATACTCATAGTAGCACATGTCAAGAAACCTGAGTTCCAACTCAGGTATGTGGGGCTCTGAGTCCCTGCTCGCTGTCTTGCTCTGTTGGTCTTTCAGAACCAGGGCAGGCCCAGCCCTGTGTTCCTCGGGCTCCAGACCCACAGTGTCTGGCCTCCCACTGCACGTGTGGGCTGCTTGCTTCTGAGGCTTTGCAGCTCCGTTCCAACAGAGCCATGTCACTATCTTGCCCAGAATCTTCTCCCCCCAGTATGTGAGCGAACCCCGGCCTGCATTCTCCCTGACCTTGCCCACTGTCCAAACATCAGTACTGCCTGGACCCATGTGGGAAATTTACTGACAGGGCGTTTCTGACCAGAGCGAGAGTACACTGAGTACTGGATTAAAAAAAGAAGAAGAAAAAGAAAAACTTTAATAATTGTGCTGCCTCCGTCACTAATAAATGAGGTGGCCTGAGCGTTGGCTGCCCTGGACCTCGAGTTCCTCTCTGTGAGGTAAGGGGAGGTTTGAAGGCGGAGGCGGCCTGTAGTCCTGTCCAGCCACACTTTTTCTTTCATTGTCCATGTTAGTTCATGGGTTTTCTTCTCTACCAATTGGATTGTAGGTTCTTTTGAGGACAACCATTTTTTTTGTCTTCCCGCATATGCCAATAAATTATCTTATATATGTATTGCACACTCATGTTAAAAATTCAGAGAATAAAAAAATACATGTATAGGGAATAAATTAAAATCACTCTTACTAGTCCTGGCTGGTTTGGTTCAGTGGAGTGAATGCCAGCCTGTGAACCAAAGGTTTGCTGGTTTCATTCCCAGTCAGGGCGCCGGCCTGGGTTCTGGGCCAGGTCCCCAGTAGGGGGCGTGTGAGAGGCAACCACACATTGTTTTTCTCCCTCTCTTTCCCCTCCCTTCCCCTCTCTAAAAATAAATTTAAAAATTTTTTAAATCACTTTTACCTTAACATCTGGAGATTATCATTATCGCCCCTTTAGTGTGCATCCCTCGGAATCATTTTTTATAAACCTTTATTTATGTATATATATGTACATATGTTTGTATTTCACCATTTTAAATTTTTATTGTGCAAAAAGATACATAAAATTTACCACTTAAGCCCTTTTTGAGTGTATGATTCAGTGGCATTCGGCACATTCATGTTGTTGTGTAACCATCACCACCTTCCTCCTCCAGTAAATGGAGAATCTCATTGGTCTGCTAACCTGTGAGGTGGGCGACGATGGGCGGTTCTGCAGAGTGGATTGGAAGGCGGCCTTGGACGCTCACCTGGGTTGGAATTCCGTCTGTGCCACTGAGCAGCTATGTGTTTTGATTTATAACATAAAATACATATTTGGGCATTATCCCCGTTTCTGGCACATAGCTTCCAAAGCACTTCTAATTCCCTAAGTGATTGGTAATAGTTGGTTTGGGTTTTTTTTTAAATCTGAAATAACTTTAAAGCAATAAAGGTGAAATGGCTGTTTCCTTATTCCTAAGTAGCCCTTTCGGTCACACCAGACTTTATAGGAATGAGGTGACATGAGGACCGGGGTTGGTTGCCAGAGAAACCAACCCTGATTAGGAGGTTGGAACTTGCGGCCGTCCGCCCCATGGCCTGTCCATGTGACGATTTCGTCAGTCATGCCAGTGACTTAATCCGTCATGCCCCCCTGATGAAACCGTCATAACAACCCAGAAGGACAGGGTTCCAAGAGCTGCTAGGTCTGTGAAAGTGTCACCAAGCAGCACTCGCCGTCCTGCCGCCCACCGCCACCCTCTAGACAAGAATCCCAGAGGCTCGGGTTTGGTGACAAAGCGGTCTGTGTTCCAGAGTAGTTTCTGGATCGTGTCAGATCCCAGCTTTAATCATGTAAGACTATCAATTAAGGCTAAACTCTAGCGCCTGAGTTCTAGCTTTTCCCTGTTCGCTTTAGTTACTTTGTTTCTTTAGGGTTAGTTTACAAACTAGAGACAATGTACAAAAACCGTGCAATTTTGGAACAATGTCAGGCTTCTGGCTCAGAGCCTGTCTCCTCTAGAGCACCCAAGGAAAAACCCTGCCACCCCCTGCCAGGCCAGCCCGGTCCTAAGCCGTGCCAGGAGTTCCTTCCCATCCAAAATATTGTTTGTTGCGAAGTGCAGGACGCTGCGTCCAAGTGGCCTCAAGGAAGGAGAGCCTGGAGTCTGAGCGGTCTCTGGGCCGCAGAGCCCACCCTCTTTGTGTTCCCATTGGCTCTGGGGGCGGTGGCTCCTCAGCCAATCCCGTCCTAGACTGCCCGCCAGTGCCTCGCAAGCTGGATGGAGGAGCTCCCCCATCCCCCTCCCAGCTTTTCCTCTGGAATCCGAGCTCTAATCAGATCCCTTGCACCAACTGAATGTATGGAGATTCTGGGACGGGCGTGCCTCCTAAGAGGGTGTGGCGGCTCCAGGCCCCTTTCCCAAAGGTCTGCCCTGTGCATCTCTTCGTTGGCCGTTGCCACGTTATATTCTTTTACAACAGACTGGTAATCTAGTAAATCACTTGCTTTCCCGGGTTCTGTGAGCCACTGTAGCACAGTAACCCGACCTGAGGGGTAGGTTGCGGGACTCTCTGAGCAAGCGTTTCATGGTAACCCACCTACTCCCCGCCGCCCCCTTCACTCTGTGACGGGGTCCTGGCGCACTGGGGTGGCCTGTCGTCGCAGGTGTCAGTGACGTTTGAGGACGTGGCCGTGCTCTTTTCCCGGGATGAGTGGAGAAAGCTGCGAACGTCTCAGAGAAGCTTGTACCAGGACGTGATGCTGGAGAACTACAGTCACCTGGTCTCACTGGGTGAGGACGCTGTCCCCGTGGTGCAGAGTTTAGAGGTGGGGTCACTCGGCACCCGCTTTCCTGGGTAGAAGCAGTGGGTCGTGAGAAAGTCTGGCCAAGTTTTGCCTGAGGATTGCATGATTAGCTCTCCGAAAACAAGTAGGAAAAACCTTTCCCCATCGTAGACACAGAACTGCCCCAGGGGTGGCGCAGCCTGCAGTGGTGACATGGTGGAGACTGACCCCACTTCAGGCGCAGTGTTCGCGTGGGGCTCTTCTGCATTTGGCTGCTCAGCTCGCAGCAGAGAGCATTCCTCAGCGCCCTTCACTGACCTGCCACTCTCCTCTCCCAGTTCTCTTTTCCAGTCCAGAAACGGGTGACTTAGCACCCACTTTCCTGGATAAGAGCTGCGGGTTGTCCACTGAACTTCCACCGAGTTTCACTCGGAGACTGTCCTTGCGGGATCTTTACAAGTAAACCCTAAAGACACACTCCCCCACCATGCACAAGGAGTTGTGCGTGTGTGAGGATGGAGGAGGTGCTATTAATAATCATCCCCTGTCCTCTGTAAGGTTACACTGGAAGTTTCTTCATGGTTCAGGTGCTATTTCGTTGCAGTGATTTTTTTTCATGGTTTCTTTCCCTTGGGGGGGGGGGGATTTGTTCAGATTCTGGACCCACCACTTGCCTTTCCCACTTATTTTAGGTTTTGTGGACCACATACGGTTTCTGTAACAGATTCCGCTCTTTTTTTCAACCACTCTTTGTTCAAGGGCCATACATTAAACGGACAGTGGTCTCAATTTCACCTGTGGCCCAAACCTGGTTTGCCATCATGAAAGGGAGTGAAGGAGTGTTTTCTCCTTTTAAACAAGCTCCTTGGTACGTGATCCTTTCCATAGATGCCTGTTAGCGAATTTTAATTCAGTCTAGACACGCAACACATTCTATCTTCTGTAGGAAGCCAGTGGTGCCTTCTGAATTAAAGCTACATGTTTATGCTGTTTCCCTACTATACAACTGATTATTACGTAGTTGTGTCCTGCAAGTCCCCTCCTTTTTCCTAATGTACCGCTCACATCACAGGGACACAACTTGAGCACCCCACAGAAGCTTTTGTGCCCTCCCCTCAGTTTTCCAATCAGATCTGGGAGAGCTCTTTGTAGCAAAACAAAACCAAGTCTTTTTCTTTTTGTCTATGAGCAGGACTCCCACTTTCCAAACCCAAAGTGATCTCCCTGTTGCAGCAAGGAGAAGAGCCCTGGAAGGCAGAGGAGGAAGGTGCTGGAGGCGCCTCTCCCGGTGAGTGGGGCTGGGGGGCCCGGGAGTCCCTGCAGGCAGCGGTCTGGCAAGTGCAAGGTGCAGCATGGGGATAACAGTCAGGAAAGTGTCCCCAGAGTTCTCAGTCCTCAGGAAGTGCTGGGGAGGAATGCACTGAGGACCCCAGACACGAGTGTCCTCTTTCCCTGGTAGTCACTTCACAAATGAACCCGTCAGGATCTCTCTTCTTGTCCTTTCCTGTCGTTTCAGAGGAGGGCAACATTCTCATGTTTTCATGCAGCAAGCGTGGTATATTTAAGGAGTTGCCAGTGGTTCATTCTGACTGAGGCTCAGGGCGTGTACTCAGGGAGAGAACGGAAGAGAAAGGAAGCAATTTTAGGAAAGTTGTCGGGGCTCTGTGCTGCAGCGCTTTGGTACAGTCCTAGAGATGCGAGCTGTCTGGTGGGTGACCGCAGAGGGCTTTCAGCAGAAGAATGGCATGGTTCTTGATGCTTTAGAAAAGTTGGTCTGAGTCGGAAACAGTCTAATGTCCTTCAGTAAAGTCCCAGCTGACGGAGCTGTGCTCTGTCCTCCCTCTGCCACACAGTGGGAGAGAGCACTGGGTGTGGGCGGAGCTTCCCCCACCGCATGGCAAGTTCCGGAGCGTTGTTGTGGCGTGTCAGCATTTATGTCTGAGGAAAATTAGGTGGGTGTTTGTCTACAGGTATAACAAGTATAGCAGATGAGTACAGAGAAAGATGAGGGACATAACAGCTGGTAACAGTTACATTTGGAAGGGGATCAAGAATGGGCGGGATAAAAGGGGACTTCGTATCCATGAAACCTGTTCATTTTCACGTGGAGAACAACCCATGAAGTCCTTAGTAGCTTGATATGAATAGGGACGGCCACATGGAGGCAATGCCGGGGATGGGTTTAAACTGAGGCACAGCTGGATGTGGGGAGTCCCAGAGACTCGCAAGGAAGTTGTAATGGCCTGGAAGGAGGCCGAGCAGTGGGGTGCAGGAAGGAATGGGAGGGGCCCCTTGTTCAGGGTACAGGGCCAGTTTCGTGTGGCGTGGGCCCATTCGAGATGTGAGGGAGACACTGGCAGACCCTGCCCACGGGCAGTGTTTAAGGCGCACGGGGTTGGAACTCAAGTGTCAGGGAGCCATCAGGGCAGAGGCGGCATTGGAGGCCTTGAGCTGACCAGGGAGGGAGCTGAGCAAAAGACAGCACCCCCGGGACGTGGATGAGGTGGATTAGGAAGAAAGCATTGGGAGAGGAAGGGGAGAAGCGGCTGTGGTGGAAGCTGGGGACAGAAGAACCCTGGCCCTGTGCTGCGGAGCTCGCCGTCAAGTGGGAGATTGGGGAACCCAGTGCACATAGCGTGCAGGGTGGCAGGTTGTGGCCTGGACCTCCTGGGAAGGGCACAGAGTGCCGAGGACACAGAGCAGGAGGCGTCTGCCAGGCTTCCCTGAGGATGCGGAGTTTCCCCGACATGGGAAAGGACGTGTGTGCACATCCAGAGCGAGGGGCCAGGTGTGCAGACAGGAGCGAGTGGGGCGGAGGGTGTCAGCCCCGCCGATGGGTGCAGGCCGAGCCAGGCTGACAGCCAGAAGGAGCGGAGAAGCAACCCTTTTCCCCTCCTGCACCTCCGGCCCTCTGCTCCATGTGGGAGTCTCCCTTCCCCAGTGACATGAGCCTTCTTCAGAGGAACTGAATAGGACATAGGACTGGAGCCCAAAGGTCCCCAGAGAGACATTGGGGCCACCTGGAGATGGGGCCGGGCTTTCATCATTTTCAGGTCAGACATCTGGGAGTGGCCCTGGCATTTTTATTCCCTCCCAGCATCCTGCCTGCAGTACATCAGTCGGCAAGTCCAGTCCTGTTAGTAGTTCCATAATGGTGTGTCCTGGTGAAATCCTCCGCGCCGGTGCCCCTTTCTCACCTGCCTACCTGTGCATCTTCTTAAGTGCTTTCCCTGCTTCCACGTGTGCCCCACCCTTCTGCGCAGTAGCTAACGTGAGCATGCAATTTCCCGTGGCTTTCTGTCATGCGAAGAATAAAATTCCGAAGTCCTTGCCATAACATATGAGGCCTTAACATGATTAGCCCCAACTTTTGCTCCAGTCTCCTTTACCCTTTTGTCTCTTGCTTCTGCACCTGAGCAACGCAGGTGCTTTGCTGGTCCTCTGTAGTCACCACACTTCTGTGTTTTGTGTTTCGTTTGCCAGGGAAGCCTTTCTTCACATGTCAATATGGCTTTTATTACTTACGCATTTATTATCTGTCACTTCATTTCCCCTGTCCCCTCAGCACTCACATCCCAAAGTATAAGTTCCAGGGCTCTGTCCTAGTCATCACACTGTCTATATTCCCTAGAACATTACCTGGCCCATGGTACGCACTTCATGACCATTCGTTAATAGAAAGGATATCTGCAGCACGTGCAAAGATAAAGCAATGTGAGAAAACGTGGAGTAGTCCAGAAACTGCACATAGTTCAGCATACCTGGCAAGCAGCCAGGGGAGGGAGATGACAAAGGAGGCCAAGGTCAGATTGTGGAGTACCTCGATCGCCATGTTAAGTACTCTGGACCTTACATGTGTAAAGCATTAAAGATGAGTTGGAGGCTCTAAGGAAGTTTGCAGCATGATGAGGTACTGATTTTAAAAAGAGTAATCTAGGCACAGTGTGGAAACTGAATTGGGAGAGAGCAAGACTTAAGACAGGGAGACTCTGTGGGAGACCAAGGGAGACTGCGGGGAAGCGTGGGAAGCAGATGCTCGGGGCTCTGGGGATGTGTTGGTACCAAAGCCGCAGTCTGGTGTAGGCCTGAGGCAGGATCTCTGGCTTCCCCTGGTTACAGGCCAGAACCCAAACTGCAGAATTTTACTACATTGACTAACCCCAGAAGCAGTGCACTCCAGTTTTTCGTGTGCATGGGACTACCTTCCATACTCTCACCCAAATAATGTATTGAAATTTGATCATTTAATTTATCAAGACTTAGATGGCAGAGGAACCAGGAAGTTGTTGGGCAGATAGTAAAAAACTTCTCTTTCCCTTATAGTAAGTAGTAAAGGTATGGGTGCATATAAAATTAGTCAAGGAGGAAGTGTAGAGTGAAAAAAAAAAAAAAACCCAAAACCCAAACCCTAGGGAATACTAGTTTTAAAGGGGGAACAGAGAAAGTTATTCATGAAGGAAACCAAGAGGTGAATCCTGGTAGAAGAAGAAAACAGGAAGGTACGATACATTATGTTCACTGACCAGAAGGCCTGTGTACACAGGTAGGAAAGTTAATGTCAAGTAGGAACCTCAAATACAGTGAGATACAAAGGGGCCCTTCCAGTGGTTACCGCTAACACAGGAGAAAATGCCAAACTGTGTGCACAACCATTCCCCTGGCAAAATTATTATTCAGTGAATTGTGTTCTTCTCCAGCTTTAATATTTATTGAAATCTATTGTTTAAAGATTTTATTTATTTATTTTTAGAGAGTGGAAGGGAGAAAGAGAGGGAGAGAAACATCAGCGTGAGAGAGAAACATTGATTGGTTGCCTCTCCCACGCCCCCAACTGGGGACCTGGCCTACAACCCAGGCACGTGCCCTGCCTGGGAATCAAACCAGCAACCTTTCAATTTTCAGGACAGCACCCAACCTACTGAGCTACACTAGTCCGAGCGAAATCAGTTCTTTCTTTACCACTCTAGCATGTTAGTTCTTTTTTACCTTTTCATATTTATACCTACCTTATTTTTCTAAATTTATTTTTATTTTATTTTATTTTTTAGAGGGGAAAGGAGAGAGAAAGATGGGGAGAGAAACATCACTGTGAGAGAAGCCTCAATCAGCTGCCTTCTCTAGGTGCCCTGACTCAGCGCCAAACCCACAACCCAGGCCTGTGCCCTGACTGGGCATCAAACCCAGTGACCTTTTGGTTTGTGAGACAACGCACAACCAACCGAACTACACTGGCTGGGGCTGTGCCTACCTTATTCTTGATCTTTGACTCCTTTCTACTTTGCTTGTACTGTCCCATGCTTGATCCATGCGCAAGTCTGCCTTCCTGGCTTGCGACTTTTGGCTTCATGTCTACCTGTAACCCCTCTATAGGGTAATTCAGTAACTCTCCCTGTTCGAACTGGCCCTGGAACCCTCCTGTCACTGTGTGTAATGCACTGATTGCTAAGGCAATGTGTGTGTGTGAAGTTAATATATAAGTAATTGAGACTATTGGACATTTTTCAGATTAGGAATACATAACTGCTTAAGGAAGGTCAGCAAAACTCTTGTATGTATTTTGGATGCCTTCAGGAAGACCTAGAGGTAAATGGGGCATGCTAATTGGTTTGTGAAGAACCTTACAGGAGAAAAGGGAAATATTTAGATATACGATGTTTTTTAAAACACTGGTAAGTGCTATACTAAGGGGGAATGAACTGTGGAAACTCAGTCAAGAAAAGACTCAGAGTTAAGTTTTCAAGTGAATCTAGAGGACACGGGAATTTCCATGAGGGGAAGGGAGGAAGACTGCAGGTTAGGAGTGGTTGCGCAGAGAAGAGAGATGTCGAGAAGGTAAAGTGGGGGTCTGTCGGGAGCTGTGGACTCTGACCGCAGACCGCCTCTCCCAGTCACCAGTTGTCCTGGTCACGCCCACTCACCCTCCTCTAAATGGGCTTGTTTTATTACTTTTTTCTACCCTAGTATTTCAGCTCCCATTGCATGTTTCTCTATACTGCTTAAATTTCCCAAAATTTTTCTTTAGCTATTTTTTTTTGGCAGATACCAATAACTTATTTGAGTATCATCCTTATTTATCTATTCTCTGCAATTTGGTCTCTGGAGCCAAATGCTATATCACATGAAACATCTTGGTTTTTTTCCCCCTCCAGGATGGAAGAGCAGTCATAAAACCACCAAGTCAACTCAAACGCAAGATTCTTCATTTCAGGAGCTGATAATGAAAAGATCCAAAAGGAAGGGACTCTGGGACTTCAAGTCAGAAAACCCCTGCGTATATGAAAACAGATTAGAGAGAAAGCAGAGGAAGAATGAGAGTGTCCAGTTATTTTCAGTCACCCAGAAAAACATTCTTACTGTAGAAAGAAGACATAAAAAGACTGAATTTGGCCAAGACTTCGGCCCAAAGTCGGCACTTATTAGGGAGAAAACCCCCCCAAAATGTGAAATACAAGGAAACAGCTTCAAAAAGAATTTAAATTTACTTAATCAACCAAAAAGCAACACAGCAGAGAAACGCTATAAATGTAGTATATGTGAGAAAACCTTTATTAATACTTCATCCCTTCGTAAACATGAGAAGAACCATAGTGGAGAGAAATTATTTAAATGTAAAGAATGTTCGAAAGCCTTTAACCAAAGTTCAGCTCTTATTCAACATCAAATAACCCACACTGGAGAGAAACCCTATGTGTGTAAAGAATGTGGGAAAGCCTTTACCCTTAGTACATCCCTTTACAAACATCTGAGAACACACACTGTGGAGAAATCCTACAGATGTAAAGAATGTGGTAAATCTTTCAGTCGAAGGTCAGGCCTTTTTATACATCAAAAAATCCATGCTAGAGAGAACCCCTATAAATACAACCCAGGTAGGAAATCGTCTGGTTGCAGCACATCTCTCCCTGGATGTCAGAGGATTCATTCCAGAAAGAAGTCCTATTTATGTAATGAATGTGGCAACACCTTTAAGTCCAGCTCATCCCTCCGTTACCATCAGAGGATTCATACGGGAGAGAAGCCTTTCAAATGCAGTGAGTGTGGGAGAGCCTTCAGTCAGAGTGCATCCCTGATCCAACATGAAAGAATTCACACCGGGGAGAAGCCCTACAGATGCAACGAATGTGGAAAAGGCTTCACTTCTATTTCCCGACTTAACAGACACCGAATAATTCACACTGGAGAGAAGTTCTATAATTGCAATGAGTGTGGTAAAGCCTTAAGTTCCCACTCCACACTCATCATTCATGAGCGAATTCACACTGGGGAGAAGCCATGTAAGTGCAAGGTGTGTGGGAAGGCCTTCAGGCAGAGCTCCGCCCTCATCCAGCACCAGAGGATGCACACGGGGGAGAGGCCCTACAAGTGCAGCGCCTGTGGGAAGACGTTCCGCTGCAATTCGTCGCTCAGCAACCACCAGAGGATCCACACCGGGGAGAAGCCCTACCGCTGCGAGGAGTGTGGGGTCTCCTTTGGCCAAAGCTCGGCTCTGATTCAGCATCGGAGGATCCACACGGGAGAGAAACCCTTCAAGTGTAACACATGCGGGAAGACTTTCAGACAGAGCTCCTCACGGATTGCCCACCAGAGAATCCACACGGGGGAGAAGCCCTATGAGTGCAGCACGTGTGGGAAACTGTTCAACCACAGGTCGTCTCTCACGAATCATTGTAAAATTCACAGTGAAGAGAGCGCCTAGAAGGTGCTCAGACATCCATGTGTGAGGGCCTTAAACCAAAGCTTACCAGAAAACGTGACAGCGATGGAGCAAGTGTAGTGCATACATAAAAACCTCTCTATAATTCAGTCATCAGGTACTAAATTCCGAGGAAGAATTTCGACTGCATGATAATTCGTGAGGAAAGTGGAAAGTGCTCACGTCTGTCAGACACTGTTAGGATGTCCTGAAGCGTGTTCACAACAGGAGCACTGACTGGGGGCAGTTGGGAGACAGAAGCATTGTTTTATCTCCACAGCAGTGTGCACTAGATACCGTGTGTGGTTGTCAGTAATATCTGGGCCGGGGTGGGGTGTGTGCACTGGATTTCTCATTTAAAGAGACAATAAACTGGTAATGCTTGTTAAAATAACATCTTAATGGCATATAACAGATGTGATCTAAAAAAGTATACATTTTTAGAGAGAAGGACCAAATAAAAGATAAAAAGAACTGTAAACTACCTCTCAGTTTTTGGGGTTTGTCCTTTTCCTGACCTGATGTCAAACTTTGTGCATGGATTTCATTTTAAAATAGAAATAAAAGTCAATTTTCTTCCTTTGTTCTAGCAATTGCTATCAGTTCAGTATTTTCTACCCAATTTGTAATTCTGTTGTCAGAATATTTTTCTCTGAAGTTATTTATTGTGACAGTATACCTGCATACCTGCCTTACACTGTGAACTTTCATCTTAGATATATCAAGTGGAAAATGAACAGTTATTCAGTTTTAAAGCTATTAATATATATGTATGTATGTATTTGCAACAGAAGAATTGTCAAAAGTTTAATGAACCTTAACATCTGCGCCAAAATATTGAAAGGCACAGCAGTAGTTTCATGATATATATAAAAAAAGTTATCCTTACTTGGTGTTCTGTAGTGTCAAACAATTTCAGGAAAACAAAAGGAGCACTTACAAACAACTCAGTTATTTTAATTTTTGTTTTGTTTTTTTTAATCCCAGCTTTGGGGCAGACACTATACTGCATGGCTGGGAGGTTTAGGAAGACGTTGGCTTTAGGGAAGCCATGAATTGGAGGAAGTGGTGGGGAATTCAGGGACTAGCAGATGAGTAAGCAAATTATTATGTCACAGTTTATAAATGTGACTTTTAGCAAGCAAATAGGTAATTTGGGACAATATATTGCAACACAAGCATGTGGAGGTTGCATAGAATGAAGAAAGAGGACGTTGAACCTAACCCAGCTAACCTGGAACTGTGAGGTTATGCTTTCCAGAGGCACGGCACCTGAGCCAGGATTCGAAAGAAGGACTCTCCGGAGGACGAGATAAGCATTTCACATAAGGAGAAACTGCATGTATAATGACACCTTGTGGAAACGCAAGTGGAACTAATGAGCAAGAAGATGCCATGTTAAAGGTTAAGCAGAAGGCAGAGGCCCTGTAACAAAAGACTTTGTTGCCATGCAGAGAAGTTTTCATTTTATTCTGAAGTTGATGGAATCAAAGGTTTTCAACAAGGGAAGATGTGCCAACAAGGTGGAGGATGAAGGCCAAGCAGGTAAATGCTGTGCCTGCCTCCTTCCGTGACCACATCGAAATTACAACTGAATTACAGGACAACCGCCTTGGAGCAGCACCTGAAGCCCAGCTGAGTAGCACTCCCATAACAAAGGATATGAAGAAGAAACCGAGTTGAGACCGGTAGGAGGGGCGGAGAGCAAAGCAGGCTGGCCCCATTCCTGTGTGGCAGTTGAGAATCAAGAGGGTAGCTCGGCTGTGGGGGTTTCTGCTAAGGAGCGAGAGGTCCCAGCCTCACAGCAGGTCCCCCAGCCTAGGCCACCAGAAAGAGCCCACAACGTGTGGCTGTGAAAATAAGCCGGGACCCTGTCCAGGTGAGACGGAGGGCTGCTGTAGCCCTCTTGAAGGCTTCATCTTAAAGGACCATGTACAGACTGATGTCCTGTGGGATTGAACTGCTCTAAGCTCCAGTACTGGTGCAGCAGACCTAAAAGTGCCAAGGACATGAGGGAGGAACCTGAATTGTCTGGCTGGGATAAAGGGCCTGCTCTGTCCCAGATGGAGGTGCTGGCAGGCACCCCTGTCCCCTTGTTAAGCCCTCCCCACGAACACAGCAGATGGGTGCCCTATCTGAGTCTCCATCAACTTGGCTAACATGTTCTCCCCACCAGGGCAATTCTGAGACTTCACCAAACTCAACCTTCCCACCAGCCCAAACCTCTTTCAGTGGTTGTTCCTCACAAGCTGTGACATTGCGCCAGTCTGGATTTTCCTAAAGTCTCTCAAAGGTCCAAAAATCCCAAACAGGCAGTGTCTAGCCTTGGTGTGCTCAGTACCTCTTGCTAAGTGGCCCCAAGCCTGGCATTAGTAGCAGCTGGCCTCTGTTCACAGCATAGGCAGCTACAAACCTCAGATCACTTTGTACTCCTACCTACCAGGTGGCCCCTGGCCAAGCACAGGCTGCAGTTGACCTGGGTCTGTACCCAGGAAGTTCTCTCATGAGACCTCAAAGCCAGCACACCAGATGGACAGCTTCAGACTGCACCAGAGCACCACCCAAATCACCACCACAGAAAACACACCCGGAGTGTGAATTCCGCAGGCACCAGAGCCCTGCTAAAATGAATCCCAATCCCTGGGGTCGGGTGCTGCCCAACAGCGAGACCAGCCTTCACAGCCAGATGGCCTCAAAGTCACCCCACCCACAAGACACCTATTACATCAGGCCACCCTTCCGAGACTGGGAGACAGCAGATCTGTCTAACACATACAAACAAACAGAGAGGGGGCAGCCAAAGTGAGGAAACAAGAGTGTCCCAAGTGAATGAACAGGCGAAACTTTAGAAAGGACTAAACAAAATAAAGGCAAGCAATCTATAAAATGTGGAGTTCAGAACACATCACATGGATGCTCAATGAACTTTGGGGTACAACAGTTCAATTCAATGAGAATTTACACAGAGAAACCATAAGAAAGGATGAAACTGAAATGAATGCAATAACTAAAATGAACACATCATAGAATCAACAGCAGATTATATGAGAAAACAAGGCCTTTCAAAATTGCAGTATGAAACATTCAATATCAGTAATTATGGAAAGTCAATATAAATCAGAATAGATGAGTATTAACCATTAAAACTGAGAGATAGGTGATTGACTCAACTATAAAGATACAAAGTTATAAATTTCCTGCTTAAAAGATATAAATGAAAATAAAATAGTCACAGCAGAATTTGTAATTGTTGCCCATACTGTCTCTCATCGCCATCGCTTTCATCACCATAAATATTTTCATAGAACACCCACCAAATATACCAGGAGTAGTTTCTAGTCTGTGAAGGGTAGGGGTTGGCTCTTCCTTAAATGCTCCAGAAGTATTTTCTAATTCTAAAATTGCAAATGGAATTTAAAGTACTAGGGTAAAATACTGCAGTAATATAAAACTCATTATAGCTAATTTATTACAGAAATTATTAAAGCTGTAAAGTGCCTTATGCTTTTACAACTTAAAACAAGCTGTAAGTGATACAAAGCAGGAAAAATTTCCCTTGTGCAGTTTTTCTCATGGAAGAGTCTTGCTTAGAAGACTATTGCAGGTAAAATCCCTTTCAGATAAAACATCAGAAACTATATATATATTTTGCAGAAATTTACTTATTGAGTTGAGTTAATAAGGAAAATGCCCTGATTTGGGTAAATTCTACAAATGTGAATTTTAATGGATGTGCAAAAGTCCAAATGATTTATTGAAAGTTGAAACAAAGTCTAGAGGCTTTTATGAAATGTGTTGGTGGTCCTGCCCATATTCTGCATTTTTGCATAATTCTATACAGACAACATGTGATATCCTTTCTGTTGATACTGATGTAACTAATGCAGCATTTAAACATTTAAGCAGTAAAAGATTTTGTGATTTGGTTTGATTGAATAATCTTCAATTCTTCAGCATTCAAAAACTTGGTCAGACTTCCAGTTTTGGCTACAGTGTGTAAACAGCATGGAAGTCGTCACCCCTTACAATGAGAAAAATCCAGACAAGCTGAAAACCAATGGCTTTTATCTTGAGAACAGAAGCTGCTGGGTACACTGAAACTGAAATCTGGGGGGATGGGCACACCCAGAAGACAGTCAAGATCTACTTACCTGGAATAGAAGCCGCTGTAGTAATAACTTAATACAAACGTGTAAATGCTAATTTTGTTCAGTTGCTAAAGGTTGAGAGAGGACAAGCTTGGGAGTGACAAATTCTTGGGGGCCACAGTTTTAATGGGTCTCCAATGTCCATCTCCATGAGCTCCAAAATCCCTTCATATTTACGTGGTGGTGACCTGAAAAATACCCCCTCAGGGCTCTGGCAGGGGAAGGATAACCATTGTGAGACATGCCCAGAGTCCTCATTACCACAAAGGGCCACTCTCCATGGTGGCATGAGGCGCAGAAGCAAGTTCTCCTTTCTCTGTGGGTGGTGGGAAGACAATGGCTCGCCTGCTGGCCAACAAGGCTCCGGTTTCTTGGTGTCTCTGTGTGTATATTTGAGATTGAACTGGCACCCAGCCAGCCCTGTGCCTGTTTTTCTATAACTCTTATTGTGCTAATATATATGTAATGAAGTTTAATATCTTAACCATCCTTAAGTGTCCAGTACAGTGGCATTAAGCACAGTTATATTGTTTTACAGCCAGCGCCAGTATGAATCTTCAGAATTTTTTACCAACCCAAACAGAAACTCTATCCATCAAACAATACCCATTACCCCTCCCTTCAGGCCACGGTGACCGCCATTACACTTTCTGTATCTGTGAACTTAACTATTCACTGGTACCTCGTGCACAGGGAATCATACAGTATTTGTCCTTTTGCGTGTGGCTTATTTCACTGAAGATGGTGTTTGCAGAGTTCATTCATGTAGCATGTATCAGAATTCCTTTTTAAGGCTAACAACATTTCATCGCATGTATATACCATATTTTGTTTATCTACTCACCTATTGTTTTTCATAACTTTTAAATTTTATTTTTCATTTATAGTTCACCTTCAATATTTGTATTAGTCTACACGTATAGAATATTGGGTAGGCAAATCATGTAGTTTACAGAGTAGTCCCCCTGATATGTAAAGTAACCACCTGGTGTGGTACACAGTTATTAAAATATTATTGATTATATTCCCTGTGCTGTACTTTACATTCTTCTAATTATTTTGTAATGACCACTTTGCACTTAACCCTTCCACCTTTCCCACCCAGCCCACAATGCCCCTTCTTATGCTTCTGTTACTGTTCACTTATTTTGTTCTTTAGAGTCCACATTTAATAATGTGGGACTTGTCTTTTTCTCTGACTGACTTATTTCACTCAGCGTAACACTCCGTAGGTCCATCCATGTTGTTGCAAATTATAAGATCTCATTTTTTAATGAGTGAGTCGTATTTCATTGTATGTATGCATCACAACATTTTTATTCACTTGTCTATCCAC